AAAATGTAAGATAAGTACGGGAAAGGATGAAGAGATCAGAACTTTCATGTATAACTTCTGTGGGAATATAAAATGGCCCAACGGGTTTGGAAAACAGTGTAGCAGTTCCTCAAAAGACTGAACATAGAGTTATTGTATGTATGATTCAGCAAATCTACTCTTAGGTATATACCCAAGATAACTGAAAACATTAGTCCACAGAGAGACTTGCACATGAATGCTTACAGCAGCATTATTCATAATAGCCAAAAGGTGAAAACATCCCAAATGTCCATCAGTGGTTGAATGAATTAACAAAATGTAGTACATCCATACAATAGAATATTATTCATCCATAAAAAGAAATGAAATACTGATACTGCTATCATCATGTAGATGAACTTTAAACAAACATGCTATGTAAGACAAGCTAGTAATAAAAGACCATACAGAATGTTTCTACTCATGTATATGAAAGTTCCAAAGAAGGAAATCTACAGAGACAGAAAGTAGATTAGTGGCTGCTTATTGCTCAGGGGAAGAGGAGGGAGACAGTGTAGTGACAGCTAAAAGATCTAGGATATTCTCTTGAGGTAATGAAAGATTCTGAAGTTGACTATGGCAATGGTTTGCACAATTCTGTGAATATACTAAAAATCACTGAATTGTACACTTTAAATGGGCAAGTCATATGTTATATGATTTATATCTCGATAAAGCTATTATTAAAAAAATAATCTTAACAAGTGCTGCAAATGCAACCAATGTTATCCACTGGACAACGCTTAATCAAGAGAAATCATATAACGCACAGTAATGGAAGCAAGTCCAGAATAAAATGCTCTTCCTTGGCTCCTCATTTCCATGAATCAATGCCTTGACTGTGATGACTGACAATTCCTGCTTAAAAATTTTCCAGACCATAAGCAACAACTTAAAACTTTGGCCTCTTCTTTATTTTAAATATTCACATGCTGGAGAGTATCCATATCCAGGCTAATGCAGAAGTCTTACATTCTAGTTTCTATTCAGAATGAGCAGTCTTCTCAATTATCACAAAAAAGACAGCTGATCTTAAGAATGTATGGATTCATGATGCCCAACTTTATGGGAAATCTAGGTAAGAAACCTTATGTTTACACAAAATGGAATGACTAGGAGTTCATTTATCCCTCAAAATATCCTAGGATTAGTATCTGGATCAAGACAGACTACAAGAATGTTAATATTTAGATCACTCTGTTGTCCCTTTACAGAACTGTTTTCACAGACCTGTAGTTTGACATCATGTCCTTTGCATATACTGTTTACCAAGAAATAGTTTCACTAAACTAGGTATATACTTATAGTATGACTACTGCCCTGAAGACACTGTCTTCTATATCATTCACTGTCCCTGCTTTCAGACTAAACTGCCAAGCACTGCTTCCTTTTCCTTATGAACAAAACACCTTATAGACCTGGTTGTGTTTCCCTGTGATCTCCTGACACCCACACAAGGGCCGAAGTTTAACTTTAGAATACTGCCAAGGGCTTACAAATGCATATCAATGTTATAACCAACCTTAACTCACTCTCAATATTTTATTTGTATTTTCCTGATTGCAATTAAAACTATTTTCATTTTCTTGTCCAATTGTGTGTGTGTGTATGTATATATGTATGTATTTCCCTGGAAACTACCTTTGTAGCAGATAAACAAACCAAAATGAGCAAAAAAAAGGTTAATAACCATTGGTTATTTTAATTCTTGAAAATACATACTTTGCAAAATACACAATAGTACTGAGTTCTGTAACTTAATATACAAACTAGAAAAAGATGTAAAAAACTGTAAAAAACACCTAGAGGGCTTCCCTGGTGGCGCAGTGGTTGGGAGTCAACCTGCTGATGCAGGGGACACGGGTTCGTGCCCCAGTCTGGGAGGATCCTGCGTGCCGTGGAGCGGCTGGGCCCGTGAGCCATGGCCACTGGGCCTGCGCATCCAGAGCCTGTGCTCCGCACCGGGAGGGGCCACAACAGTGAGAGGTCCGCGTACCGCAAAATAAATAAATAAATAAATAAAATAAAATAAAACAACACCTAGAACCTCCATAAAAAGCCTATTTTATTATTTCATATTAAAAGTAATCAATCTCTCCACAAAGCAAGAAGTGGGATTAGGGGTTGCTTAAATTAAGTTACAGAAAAATACATAAAAGTAACAAAAATAATTACATATTCACAGAATACTCCCAAATTTTCACTTTTAACAATATGAATTACATAAATTTTCTTTCCAAAAATATCTAAAATTCTATTTACTGTTACCAAAGAGATTAAGGTGATCACAGTTTTCTACCATTCAAATTGTAACAAAAATTTAAAGATAGAGTAACAGAAATATCAGCAAGATTAACAGCAGAGGCAGCCCAGCTTACAAATGGCCAAAAACCAAAAGACATTTAGAAAATCAATTGTTTGGAACTTAGAACCTACATTTGCCAAAGACACAATGCTATCCAGAAGTCTTAGATTCTTCAGCTCAGGCACACTGTATACTAATCCTGGAACTGGGAGAAACCACTTATCTTTCCAGATTTCAGATCTTTTATTTATGAAATGACACAAGCATCTGTCCTATTTAACTAAGATTAAAAATTAAAAATATGCTGCAAAATGTCAAGCACTGTATAAATATGGTGTTTTCTTATCATCTGATCCATAATGTAAATGAGATTGAACTACTATGCCCTGTTCTGACCCTCCTTTCTCAAGGTTCACTAAGTATAATAAAGAAGGGGAGGGACTTCCCTGGTGGCACAGCGGTTAAGAATCCACCTGCCAATGCAGGAGACAAGGGTTCAATCCCTGGTCCGGGAAGATCCCATATGCCACAGAGCAACTAAGCCTGTGTGCCACAACTACTGAGGCTGCGCTCTAGAGCCTGCAAGCCACAACTACTGAGCCCACGTGCCACAACTACTGCAGCCCGCGTGCCTACAGCCTGTGCTCTGCAACAAAGAGAAGCCACCACAATGAGAAGCCCGCACACCGCAACAAAGAGTAGCCCCCACTGGCCGCAATTAGAGAAAGCCCGCGCACAGCAACGAAGACCCAACGCAGCCAATAAATAAATAAATAATTAAAAGGGGGGGGGGGAGAGTGTTGTGTCCCAGATGGTTTTGAGTCAGAAAATATCAGCAATTAACCAAAAAAGTTCCCTTTGATATTCAAAGGTCTCTTTCATTCATTAAATACACATCTTGCTGAATAATCTTAAGAATATTAAATAAAACTAAATGTGTGATATATAATTTAAATATTCTGATAACATATTATACTATCCCCTAAGGATACTAATTATCTATTTAAACCAATGCAAAGCCAGGAAATGATAACAACAGCAGTCACAATGATAATTATAACCTGTAACATCTGAACTCTTACTAGGGTCCAGGCACTGTTGTTCTAAGTGCTTTACATGTATTATTTCTTCCAATTAATTTTAACAGTAACTATGTGAGAAAATTACCATTATCACCATTTCACAGAAGAGGAAACAGAAAAGTACTTTCCTCAAGAACACAGGAATTTCAGTTCCTAAATCAAAACTAAAAGAGCAAAGCAGCCTACGAATAGTTGATAAGATTGGAAATACTCCTATAACCCATTAAAGAAAGAAAGAAAAAGATTGGAAGCCACTTAAAATAACTGAAAAACATTAAGGAAAACACCAAAATTTATAAAACTGATTAATCTTATTAAGAACCAATAAAACGTTTAAAATTTTTTTACATGTTTGCATTTGTTTAACTTCCACAATGAAAAATTAGACTTTCAGAATAATCTATGACATTAAGAACAAACTGGAAGAAAAAGTCTGAAAATATTACTTTAAAGTGAATGTCAGTAAGTTTTCTAAATATATTCAAGACTTTTAGTCTGGTTTCAGAGCCTGTGTTCCTCACTAATTAGCTATACGAAAAATTAGACAAAATTTTATTAATATAGGAAAAAACCCCAATTGTGTGCTCTTAACAAGTCACAATCATTTAACCTACAACATTTCTGTAGAACGGAAAATATGTGATTCTGCACCTCTGGCAAGCATACTCTTGCCTAGCAACAGAGTAAAAAAAATACATTATCAAACAACATTTAAAATAAGTCCAAGTAAACAGTACACATAATGTCAGCAGGCTGGCAGTAGATATGGGCATTTTAGAGAAATTATTTTATTTCATTTGTGCTTCTCTGAGTATTTTATAAAATGCTTATTACTACACAGAAGAACTTTCAAATGACTTTGTCATACAGTACATTGCATGATATATAAATATATAAACATTACTTAAGACTTAAACAGACATTTTCACTAAAGGATTCTCTTAGAGTCAGTTACCGAAACATAAGACTTTTGCAAATGTCGTGCGATTTAATGAGGTGTTCAGCCAATAACGCGATAAACTTAACATTTCAAAGATGAGCAAGATAAACTGTGTTAAAGCTACAAGCCATGCCTCTGAGATTTACAGTTTTATACTACAACCATTGTTATAACAATAATAAGCTATTTCAAAAACCAAAGTGTTATTGGTCCTAAGGAAAATTAGCTACATAAAAGGAACTTAGATTGCTTTATGTAGATTATGAATCAATGCAAACTCATTACTAACTGTAAAAATAAAACCCCATAATTCATGTAAAAGACAGCCTGTTAATTCAACTAATACTTCAATGCTTTTAGGTTAGAAGGTTTCCAAGTCTTCGGAAACTATGAACATTTTACTTATGACCACAATCCCTTATTCAAAATTCTTAAGTTCAAAACTTTGAAAAACATTAAGTTTTTGCTAGTGTGGAACATTAAATCAGTCTGCTGCAGATATATTAATCTTTTGATTACAGGATGCCTCAGATCCAGCTGAGGGTGTTATAAACACACTCTACTACTTTTCTAAAATCCAGAAAATCACATGGCCCCAAGGATTTTGAAAATGAGACTGTGTATATACACACATTCCAAATTAAGATGTTACCTGATATTCAGAATCCAGTCTAAACGAAGAGTCCCTTGAGTGATAGGTATCATTTAAACTACTTCCTCTGCTTCCAGACATCATCCTAGCACTTAAAGAGCTAGAGGGTTGAACAGAAATTCTTCTTGGAATCCTTGAAGGTTTAGACTCCATTCTTAATGTTTCCTGTGAAATGCAAATTTTGATTAATTGCCTTTTGGAAAACATGCAAACCTTTGATTCTTAATCCTCTCCTTAATGATCAGCTCAAATCAAGAATTAACCATGCAAATTAACCGAATGGTAAACTGAGATTATCATCACTCTCCTTCTACAGGCAGAGGTCTGAAGACCATCAAAGGTTCCCTATTGCCCATAAAATGAAGCAAACATGATAAAAGTGGTGATGAGAAACTGAGGTTTGTTGTTTCTAAAGCCTGAGCTCTTTTCCTTATTCAATTTCCTCTATATAAAATCCTAGGGACTTCCCTAGTGGTCCAGTTGGTAAGACTCCACGCTCCCAATGCAGGGGGCCCGCGCGGGGAAGTAGATCCCGCATGCATGCTGCAACTAAGACTCTGCATGCGGCAACTATGAAGTCCGAGTGTCACAACTAAGACCCGGCACAGCCTAAATAAGTAAATAAATAAAGTAAATAAGTAAATAAAATCCTACACGAATCAGCCCTTGACTCTTGTTATTCCTATTATGAATGTTCGATACTCACAGCATTAGCTGTACTGTAGTATCTATACATTCCCTAACACAATATGCTCTCACAGGACTTTGTATGTGCCTGCAAAGTCTATACATTCCCCATTCAATTCCTGGGCATAGTCTTAAAACAAGATCAAGTGTTACTTCCACTTTTTACATACTTTTTTAAAGACATCATACTACACACTGTAATTTGTTTTCCTGTCTCCCCTTCTCAAAAGTGAGAATAATTTCTAAGTTTTCTTCACTAAACATTCCTCAACACATGCCAAGAGTCACCATTAGCTATGCCTTATTTTTTAACTCTCTCTATAAGTGGATTCATACAACATGTACTCCTTTATGTCTGGCTTCATTTGCTCAACATTATATTTGTGAGACTAATTCTGCTGTTGCATGCAGTTGTAGTAAGTTCACTCTGATTAGTTTATGTAATATTCCACTGTATCAATACACACAATTTATTTGTCTATTCTACTGCAGATGGACACTGGACTGTTTCCAGTTTTAGGCTATTACAAGTAAGGCTGCTATAAAAGCATTAATTTTATAAATTAAAGAAAAACTTTTAAAGTTTTCTGGGGAAAGGATTTACAATGAGGCCTCTGAACAACTGAGATACCACCAGTCTTGAGAGTAAAAAGAGAAGGGCAAAAGAAAGTAACAGTAAAAAGAAATCACAATAATCTCTTCAACTCCTCCCAGTTACCCACTTTCAAGGTCAAAAATTATTCCCTTATTTTTCTGGTAGTGGATTGAAATTAAGGCAAGAAAAAAGTAATGTACTTCACTTGCCTAGATAGGTATATCTGCTGTATTAAAACCTTCAAATCTAAACATTTAAGTTAAAAATATCTAATTCACTTTCAACTCATTAACTTATCAACTAAGTTTTAGCATCATTCTACCTTAAAAGTTACTACAAAAGAATTTCCTTTTTCAATATCTGCCTCAAAAACAGGGTGTCAAGCAATGACAGAAAAGAGGATGAAGACGCAAAAACATCAACAAAACATATGGCCGATACTGCAGTAGGATACACAACAAACATGAAAAAGATATAACACAAGCCTACTATCAATTAAAATTATTCGACTAAGAGTATCTAGCTAATGAGAAACCAGAGTAAAAGCTACACTCTGGGACATGATTAAATCAAAGATAACTTATCAGAAAAGGTCTGTTTGAAGTCCCAGTTAAACATGACAAGGTTATCCTTATGCATCTGTTTTGGTCCCTCTTTCCAAAACCCCTATAAAATGACAGTCGATGAATCCAAAAGCTTTAACTATGAAAAGAATAGGAAAAGGGACCATAAAAGGCAAGAGATTTCAATGTTATATTTGGAAAATCCAAAAAAGTCGGAGGAGAGGTAGAGTAATTCAGCAGAAAGGATAAAAAATACACCCTAGGTACTTTCTAGAAAGAGGTAGGAACTGGAAACAAAGCAGTTGGCCTTAGCATCCTAGAAAGAATCAAGACCTGGAGATACAAGGTATCATAAAAAAGGGATGATGCATGGAGTTGCTGAATTAAAATCTGTACTTGGAGCAGTAAAACCCTCAATTCTCCCCCTAGTACCATTCTTCCGAAAACAGGATATTTATTCTCTGGAGAATAAGGATCTCCCATGTAACCCTCCCCACCCCCACCCAGGAAATATACAACCATCTCTGCAAAGGTTAAGTATAAGGAATAAAAGAAAATCTATATATTCAATGTTGAGACCCAAAAACTCTTTCCTGGTGCTGTTTTTACAATGCTGTCAGAAAACCAAACAAAATACCTGAGATAAAATTTCTGGATACTGACATTTGGAATGCTTCCAATTACACAGCTAGCCTGCCATTTGACCATCCTACCCAAAGCAAAGTCCACTAGTCACTAAGAGTTTCTAATCAGCTTTTTTTAGTGCTTCCCTCTAATAGACAAACATCAAGGATCACTAGGTATCCAAGGAAAACCTCCCATAAGACTAAAGTAAATAACAAAAAAAGGAACTTAAGAGAAAATCTGGGGAAAGGAGCTAATTAATTACTATCCTCAAAGGGAGCAAAAGACATTCATTCATAAAATAAAAACAGGATGCTTGAGAAGGCAATCAGTATAATGAACAGCTTGTGGAAATTCAAAATGTTACACACTTAAAAAAGGAATGTGATACACTAAAATAAACCAACAGAAAGGTTGGGACACCTCCCAGAAGTAGAAAATGTAACTCAAAAAACAGGAGAATTGTCCAGGGGAGTTATCGATCATTTGACGGTAAGTATGGTTACAGAAAGAGAAAAAAGAAAATAAGGTAGAGAAAATTATCAAAGAAACGAAAGAACTTTTCTAGAATTGAAGGACACAAATCTCCACATTCAAGAGTACTGGGCAGGATCAAAGAAAAAAGACCAACACTAAGTACCATTTATCATCTTGAAATTTCAGAACACCAGAAAGAAAGAGAAGATTCTATAATTTACAAGAATGGAAAAATGGGTCATATACAAAAGAAAAGTAATCAGAATGGCTTCTTAATTACAACTTTAAAAACTCTCAAGACAATAAAGCAATGCCTATAGTACTGAGAAAAAAATTTAGCATTGAACTCCTATCTAGCAACTAAATGTGAGGTGGAGAAAAGAGTATTCAGACATGAAAGATTTTAAAAAACTATTAAAAAACAAAACCATAGGAAGTTAGTTAAATGAAGAGCAGGTCCTAGGAAAACAGAAGTGTAAAGAATTAAAGAACCAGACACAGAACCCAGGAAACAGTTACAAAATTATGTGGAAAGCATAGGGAGCAACTGATCAAGACTGGAACAGGATCACAGAAAATGGAAGCAAATTCTCAGGAAAAAATAGCATCATACGGAAACTATTTTGGCTCGTGGCAGAGATGATAATACAATTGGGAAAAAAATGCTGAGTACTTAGAACAAAAGGCAAATTTAATACATTAATTTTGTAACTTGGGAAAACAGAGCTATTGTTCAAGAAAGGAGATGCTGCGGTGTTTGGGTGAACTCTTTAATATTTATATAGTTAAGATAGTGTAAACATAAGATTACTGTATATCAATCTTGCTACAAACATGCTGTGTGATTGAGGTGGGTAGGGGAAGTAAGGACAATGGTGAATAAAAAAGCACATATATAATACTAAAAAATCATGAACACATCATTTAGAAATATGAAGGTAAATCCTAAAACAGCTAAAAGGTGAGGATTGCTGCCTATGGAAAGCGGGACTGGGAATGAGGTAAAGGGTGAGGCAAAGGACTGCTGTTTTCCTTTTAAGCAGAGATGACCATATTTCCTGGTTTGCCCAGACCAGTCCCAGTTTATGGCCAGAAAAGTCCTAATTTGTGCTCATTATCCTGGGACAATTATTAATAGTACTTGCGCTGTCTCTTAAAAGTGGCCTGGTTTGAATGACAAAGCATACAGTCACCTAACATAAATCTTTACTTCCTTCAGCTTTTTATAAATTCTATATATACATCCATATAAAAATTTTTATTAAAAAGGTGAATTATAAATTGGACATTTAAAGAAGGCATACGTTAGTAGAAAGAATACTAATGGTTAAATACTGACATGCAACAGCCCATAAAAGATTTAACAAGTAGCAAATTTGTTATTTTATCAAGAAGGCTCTACAAACACTAAACAAGGGACTGTATTTGTTGAGGATTTTAAAAGGGAAGATAAAATGTCTTTAAAAAGATACAGGTCTATAGATGGTTCTTTAATAACAGTGCTTCTTAATCATACCTCTCGTATTTTACTTTGATTATATTTGTACCCAATTCTTACTGCAGAATAAAACTAACCTAGTAGGAAATCTCTCAAAACAAAGCTCTTGGGAGAAAGCAAAGAGGCAGGGTCCTCCGAGAGCTATAATTTATACTGCATGAAACTATTTTTGGCAACTCCTCTACATAAATTGATTGAATTTTGACAATGTAGGTGTTACCAGAAAACTTATGTAATCTGGTTGTATAAGCTGTAGGTCAAAGCACAAAAAATAGAATAAATAAAATAAGCAGTCCTTGAAAAACTTCTACCAGACCACTTACAAGGTACTACAAGGCATCTTTTCAAGTTCATTCATTTAAGAAATAGTTTCTTACATGCTTAGTATGTGCTAGGCACATTAATTAATACTAAACAAAGGGACAGGGAGAGGGGACAACACTGAACCTACTAAGGTAATGACTATGAAGAAGCTGTAGTCTAGTAGAGAACAAACACAAATAACCATACAACTTAAACAGTTATAAGTGCTCTAAAGGAAAAGGTATAAGCCAGAAAAAAAGACTAGCAGGAAAAAAGTATCTGAAGCTCAATGCTTTTAACCAAGACTTAAAGAGTAAAAGCACAAAAAGTTCATATGCACAATCTTTCCTCAGTGGTCAATATAATAGCCTCTTACTTTCCTTTTGCCTCTATGTAGTTTCTTTAAATTTCTTTAAAT